CGCCATGGCAGGTGGGTGAAAGACCCGAGCTAACATGGGGTTAGCTCGTTAAATTACAATAAAGCCTCGTGCAGTTTGCAGCAAGCTCTCGAATCCGCCTGGTGATTGGGGTGACCGCGAACCTGGCCTGAGACCCCGGATACTTGAGTTTTCGGGGGTCTAACAGTAATCTGAACACAGAATTAAGCATTAGCCAAATGTGGTGGTGTATGCCTGTTGTGGTTTGAGTGAGAGGCTCCCCTATAGGCTCAGATGTTTGAATCTTGGCGCTGTTAAGGTAGGTTCATGGATATGGCCTTGCTGGAGGAAGTGTGTCACTAGGGGCAAGCTTTGAGGTTCAAGGCCACATGTGATTCCCAGTTCACTCTCTGCAGTTCAAGATGTGAGCCGTCAGCTTCTGCTCCAGCTGCTCTGACCGCTGCTTCCTGTCATGCTCTCCCACCACAGTGGACTCCTAACCCTCTGGAATGGTTAAGCTCAAATAAATTCTAAGTTGCCTTGGTCATGGTATTTTATCACAATAGAAAGGTAATAAATGCACCTGAAATACCATCACTTGAGCAACAGAAGCAGGAGGATTAAGAGTTCAAACTCAGCCGGTCGTTGGTGGCGCATGCCTTTAATCCCAGCACTCGGGAGGCAAAGGCAGTCGGATCTCTGTGAGTTCGAGGCCAGCCTGGTCTCCAGAGCGAGTGCCAGGATAGGCTCCAAAGCTACACAGAGATACCCTGCCTCAAAAAACCAAGAGTTCAAGCTCACCCTAAGCTACATAGTGAGTTTAAAAACAAGCTGGGCTACTTGTGAGCTTGTCTGAAAAAGAAACAAACAAAAAACTGCCCCTCTCCTATCAGCAACCTTCCAAATTCTCAATCAGCCATTCATTTTTGTTTTCACTTAAGCCAATCAAACTTCATTCAAGCATGAACTAGAATGAATAGGTAACAGTATTTCAGATCAGTAGCCAAGCCTTCTGTTCACTAAACCAACTTGCATTCTGCTGTACCAAACCAAATATCTTCCTCTCATTCTCTACACACTTCGAGGTCTCCAGTACTTGCTTCTTCTCCCCTAGGTCCTGCACAGAATCTACTTTGGGATATTTCTAACTTTATAAGGCTCTTGACCTTTGAATAGGTGTGAGCCCAGCTGTAGCACCCTGACCCTACAATGACCCTTCCGTCTTCCACTCCAGTAAATTCTGGGATTTCCTAAACAGAATTCCCCAGGGGCAACCTTTGGATTTCTGGTGATGGCTTGTGAAAACTTCTCTAGGAAATCCGGGCCTGGAGACGCAAGGAGACATTCCCTACTCACTAAACCCATTCAGAGGAATAGGCATTCATTTTCCTACCAAAGGGGGCGCTAGACATGATGGGCAGGCTGCCAGCTTCCTCCTTTTTAAGGTA